AAAAAAAAATAAACTTGCAGATTTAACTGTGAATGCTATATTGTAATCCACTTTTTCTGTGAATTCTTAGTAGGCAGAATCAGGTTTTACAGCTCCTTTCACAACATCCTCTGAAAATTCCTCACATTAAAGATCTGATTGAGATATTCAACCTTCTCAGCAGGTAACAGGCATCTTGAATGAATATGGACATTTTTATACTTTAGAATTTATTTTTTCTTCTTGGCTAATTTTTTAAACAGGACTCTCTACTGCTTACCTTACATGTGTCTGACTGCATATTTCAGTGGCAAACTCTCCAGAGCTCTATGTGTTTTATCTCCCTACATGTTTTATAAACAACATGTAGCGAGATGGTTCCACTCTTTGGCCTAAGCATTTCCTGAATATGATCTGAAATTATAAGAAATTGAAGGATACCATAAGCAGTTCTTGCATTTTTGCAGGTAGGAGTAATAGGACCCAACAAATTTAAAGACTTCCTAAGCACTTCCATTTTATGCATTCACCTGTATTTGAGATAGATGAAACTTTTGAGCTGCAGAAGGACAGAAATGTGTAAGGTGGATATCCTGTAAATTGTCTGGATTCACCTTGACCGCCATCACATTCACAAGGTAATTGTTTTGCATATATTTCCTGTGCCTGAAGGGTGGTTTCTCAACTTTAAAAATTASTATTTAAGATGATAGCACCTCAGATATGAGAGAGAAACTCCACTCCAGGGACATTTGAAACTTAGTGGAGCCTGAGCACAAGGAGTTCTTGCATAGGGGCCAGACTGCCAGCCAGGATTTGGACAGTCCTGTGGTCAAAGYAGGAGTCCATTTGCCCCAGATCCCTGCTGCTGGTCTGAACTGGGCTGGGGTCTGAGAGGTGAGAGCTGTGGGATGCCACAGAAGAGCTCTCCATCCTGTGTAACCTTCCTTTTTAGTAAACAAATTTTATCTCATTGTGTCATACCGAGTTTTTTTTTCCCCACTGCCAATAACAGAATGCACTCATCATAAAATAAAACATCAATACAGTAGCATTAGTAACAAAACACAATCAATGACCAAACAAATAAAAATTGTATGGGAATTGAACAAGGATGGTAAAACAATTTTTTTTTTTAATATTATAGCTATGATCTTCTAGAAGTTTATTTTCTGATAAAGTTTCTTAATTCAGTTTATTTAAATTTCAGTRCTACATTTGTTATTCTACCCCAGTAGCCCGCCTGCCTGTGGATATACATATTAAAGAGGGGATGGATAAGAATGTTTGCTATGAACTAGTCCCATGGGTTGGAATGAAAGTGTTCTTACTTCACACATACCAGTTAGCTAATTAMCATCACTTTGAGGAGGAGAACACTAAACCTGAGATTTAAGCCTTTCTCYGAATAATGTTGTTGAATGAGGCTGTTGGGGTGTTTCTTTCTTCCTCTAAAAAAAAAAAAAAAAAATCTTTCTTTGACTTCTTGTTGTAGCAGYTCCCCCTTGGTGCTGTACGTCCCATGTACCTAGGATAATTTGAGCTAGCTCAAAATGGATTTACTGTGGTTTTATACCACTGAGGATAGAACTGTGATCATTTCATCATGTTGTAAATTGTTATAAAATTAGTGCAACMACCTGGAGTTCATCAGTTCAATGCAACTCCTCTTTGGAACCAGGATGATATCTGGGGTGATTTCCATCTGTTTAGGGAATCACTGATGCTGACCTCCCTCGGGGGTCTTTGTGTAATATTTTGCAGTTAAATGTGAAAAATCTCAACCTGTAATCTGAGTTGTAAGAAGCAAAATATCTCGGATCCAGCTGCTGTACTGCCACTTGTTTTTCCTTCCTGTACTTAGTTCTATGGTAATAACGTCCAATAGCTTTTATTTAGTTTGGAATAAGTGCAGAGTAAGTTTACATCTGTTGCAAGATAACATGTAGGCATTCCTTGCCACCACAGGGGTGGTGGTGACAGTCTTGATGTAAGCTTAATTTATTCGACTGCTAAAGTGGTTTGAAGTCAATCWTCTATAGCAGTAGGACTGAAATTGGAAGAAGCTCTTCTGTTTGCTATTTACTTCTCCTCTGTGACAGATTTCTATTTAAAAAAAAAATCAGTCTATTTCTGTGAGTCCAGGTAGAACTTACAGGTATGAAGTTTGTACTATTGTGTACCTTTCTGTATGGTTTCTTGGCAAGACTACTCAATATTAAATACTTGCAAACAAATTTGTTTTTTCTAGAAATATCTCTATGCAATTAGTTCACTCTTTATTGAAGACCCTTTTGCCTACAACAAACCTTCCTATTTTACACACTGATAAATAGAGCTAATAAGATATTTGCCTTCATCTTATTTCTGCTCCTTCAAGTTAGAATGTATATCAGGGGAAACAGAATTGTACAGGTACAGTGTTGGTACGAACAATGTCAGAATCAATTTCATAGTTACTAGGGTTGACTTTGGCATTTGTTTCTTAACAGTGGGAGGTGATTTTCATGTTTTCCAGATGACCATGTCTCCCAYGACCAGAGATATTAGCTAATGTCTAAAAGTATTTTGAAACTTTTAACTAAAAATGTCCAGATCAATTTAGTAGCTAGGCACCCGAAAATGAGAGAGCTACCTGACAATAAGAGGTAGTGAGAGCATTGTGGATGAATGACAGAAATGGGAAAGWACTTTGTTAATTTAAGCCATTAAGATAAACATTTTCTTGACKATAAGTCATTCTGGGTGTATTCTAGATCTCTGATATTCTAGATCTATATAAAAATTACTTGGTWATACTAGATCACAAGTCAGATCTGTAGATGGTGAGACACCTAACACCTAAATATCTAGAAATCGTAGAATTGCATATTGTCAGAAAAGGCAGGACTGGAGGCAAGTGGAATTCAGAGTTGACACCAGCTTATGCAGATAGATCTCAAAGAATATAAAACCCTTCAAGTCACTAAGTCAAATTTTCAGTTTATTTCAGAAATTATGAAAATCAGATTTTTTCTTTCCTTCAAACACTACATCCATACTTGGAATMATGGATAGACAGCAATTTTATTGTTAATGGAATTATATATTTCACTTGAGAAAGAATATAGCCCAGTATATGGGGAAATGCCACAAGGTAGATGAAAGAAGGCATATTTTTTCTGTTCTCTTATCTAATATATTTTTTTTTAACAGTTGAAAAAGTGATAAAACTTGCATGGGCATATGCAAYAAGAAATTGGAACATTTCAGTCTGAACAGTTTCCTTTCCTTTTCCGCTGAACTGCTTCATTTCTCTCACATCTTTGAACCACTATGAAACCTCAGGTGGTCTGTGGTGTTCTTTGACTTAATGAGAAATTGGGAGCCCTGCTATACTAAAAGCAAAACAGCTGAGGAGAAGCAGTGAAAATAGAAAGGGTGTTAGATGCATCACCTTAAAAGAATCCTTTAAACACAAGGCTTACCTTGCCCACGTACTGGGTATCTGGACCTGTGTACTCCTCCAGCAAGAAAAATTGATTCCACATCCAACCACGCTTGGTGCGGTGCAGTGTTTTTCCATCATTCTCTGACAATCCTGTTATCCTTTCACTGTGTGAGTGCTTGTTAGTCCTTTTCTGGGATGGCGTCATATGAATCACATAAAACACACAGCTCCAAAGCAAAACTGTCAGAAAGGAGTGAGTCCTCATCATTTCCAGGGATGCTGCTAGCCTCCACTCCTCTAATAATTCACCAGAACAAATTTTTCAAATGTTATATTCCTCTTGTAAGAAGAACCTAGGGGACAAAGAAAAGTGTTTGTATAAGTTGCAATAACTTTTTTYCCCCAAGGAAACAGGAGCACAGTCTGGTGATCACAACAATAACCCATGGGAATGGCAAATAACCATGGAAATTACTCAGAGAKTTTTAAGTCGAGTTCTTTAATGTCTGTTTTCATCTTATTCTAGTTTACTCACATTGTATATAGACAGTAATTTAAAACACAAGCTGAGTAAAATACTTTATCTATAAGCTGTAGCTACGAGCAGCATCCTGACACAGGCAAACAGCCCAAATAAGAAAACTTCCAAATGAATCTCTCTCAGCTCAGCCTGATGCTATCTTCCCTTAGYATCTGTTCAGAATTGCCTGTAAATCTGATTTTTCTGTTACTTTGTGGTTAATACATCCCATTCTTCTCCTTTGTTAGTCCCCAACTGTACAGAGGATCTTCTATTTCTACAGAAAAGAATTCATAAAATGAAATTTGTAACGTATTATYGATGCCTTTCACAGATTCTTTACACAAGAAAGAAAAGTACTTGTTAGATAGCTGTGGGTTCCTAGGACTCCTGCTGGGGTTAACAAAACTCTGCATTTGGAAAAGAGTTCTCCATTTAAATTGTATTTCATTTTTCCCTGAATCGTGGCTGAATGAATGGGAATCTTCATGATACAGAACCCTACTGTAATTAGTATTTTTTTCTGAAAATTTCTCTGATGTTTTCCTTGGAAGTTTGTAAGCAATATTAATCAAACCAAATCACACTCATACTCTTAAATGCCTGATGTCCCAGTCTTTTCCATAAACTTTTCCACATTAAATATGTTTGTGCTTTAGGATATCTTTAGTTGTCATTTTATATTACAKAAATCATAGGAAGACAATTCAGCAGCAAAAGTATATTTTCTTGGAGAATATTAGTCCATTAACAATGATAGTAGCATGAAGCCACAACACTTAGAAATTTGGAAATTAAAAACATCTATACAAACTTATCCCCCTTTCTTCTGCAATGTAACATTACCAACAGCTATTTTCACTCCGTTGTTTATTTGCTTGCAGTTTCTATAGAAGAGGGGAAGGGAGTTTCTTCTGTACAAAAAGTTCATTTTGGAAATAAGATAMTTCTTGTGAAAATTATTAGTCAGTTGAGAACCAAAACTGTTTAATGGAAAASATTCAGTGAATTGTACTCTAAAGGCCTTAATGATTAAATTACTGGAATTGTGCCCTCGTGTGAAATTGTCTTAAAATGATGATTTTCTGTATGGACTCAGGATCTTAACTAGCAATCCTGAAGGAGGATCAAAGTCTTAGCATTTTAGTAACTTCAAACAGAGTTTTAACTGAGCAAGAAGTGAAGGCTTGGAATATTTATCACTTTCTAAGATGATGCTCAAAAACAAAAAGAAAACATCTTAATAGGTGTCATATTTATGCAGAAGATCGTGTATATAGCACAGGAAAACTTGTTTTCTTTTGCTTTTTATTTTAATTGAAGAATCAAAGCTCAAAGTAAATTAGCTCTGTTTGCATAATATCATGAATGTACATAGATCTCAGCATACAATCAYGAATGTGTTTTCTTTTAATTCTGGCTTTCTCCATTATAATGCTCAGTATATTCCTGTTGCAGGCAGACGAGMAAAGTGCAACTCTCCTGTGGTTAATTTAAAACCAGTAAATTTTGACATTAACTGGAAAACATGTTTAGTACATGACGATCGTGCCTTGTGATTGAAATTTACTGGATACAGATCTAAAGAAAAAAAAAGCAAACAAAGTCAGCCAATCTTCTATCCACGTTTAAGTTTGATGAACCTTATTCCCTGTATAGTATTAGACTGAAGAAGGTTTTGTCACTCAATAAAGTTATTTATCAATATAGAGCATAAGACATCATTGTACTTCAAATTCATCCCACTGCATCATCTGAGCAGATTGAAGGGCTTTTTTCATGCTTTGTGAATTAGATCCTGCTTAAGGCAATGCAAAATAAAAGTAGGCAGCAACAGGAACCTTTGGAAATGTTGAGTTCAGAGGTCAAACCATCARCTTTGTCTGGTGGCTCTTATCGAGTCTCCTATCTCCTCAGGAGATAGTCTTGCTTCATGTGTCCTCAAATAGTGCTTTTTCATAGCTGCATTTGGACTGCATTTCAAGAACTCCTCTTCTATACATTCTCAATTATAATATTCAAGTGTTCATATTGAAAAAAATTTGGATTTGCTTACTTTTCCTTTGATATGAATTATGTGTTGTTATGTAACTATTCTGATAAATGTGTTTTTGTAAATCATGACTGATTTATTTCTCTAATTTCTTGGACCATATCAGATTTTCTACAGTAAAACATAACAAATGACAAAACAAACAAAAATTCCTGAAAATAGCATGCATATTTGACAAAATTTTATTGCATATTCTATAAAACTACTAAAAATCCTATTTTTTTTTTTCCAAAGCCCCTAAGACTTGAAAGACTGCTTTGAAAAAGAAGTTATGCAAAAATGCCAATTTAAATTTTCTCTTCAGAGTGTTCTTATTTCAAAACTTTGACAAATCTAAGATTCAGATGATTTAGTCTGCTTTRATTTCACTACTTTCTCTTTTGGAAACAGAGTAGGACAGGTGACATCAATATATTTTCATTTAGCCTTTTAGAGTTTTATGATTGCACATTCAGCTTTGTGATAATTTCAAATGTAAATAAAATTTCAAGTGCTTCACTTTTGCTATTTCAAAACTGCACAATTTTAATTTCTTGAAATTGACCTCATTCTTTTTCTGTCCAGACACTATTTGACATACTCATTTAAATGCAGAAGATGTTTATACTACTCTTCTTTTTGTACTCCGAGAAATACTTCAAAGTGGTCATTGTCTACGAATCTTGTCTCTCAGTCAGCTGTTCAAGTGGGTCAGGAATTGTGCTTGGCAGACTCAGAAGGTGGAGTTCAAGACTGAAACAAAGGATTCTGGCATAGTCTGGAAAAGCAAGACCAACTTCTCTAATTCAAAGGAACCCAATGCACCGTGTACAGAGGTTCTGACCCTGCTATAAGAAAATATCTCTGTGCAAACACCAGTTTTTCTCAGAGGTCTTTTTCTCAAAGGAATCTAGGTTCCCACATTTTGTCCCAGCCAGGGCAGAAGTTATACTGAGATTGTTTAAAACGTGTGGTTTTCTGTGTAGCGCTGCCCTCTACTGATTTCCTTGATAATTAGCAGGACTTTGCTACCGAGTGGAAAGGTAGAATCTAAATGTCAAGAATAAAGCAAAAACAAAAACAACAACAAAAAAAAGTTACAGCCCATTTTCCCCTACTTTTTATTTTTACAATAATTGGACCTTTTAGGTGTAAAAAGAGACTTATTGGTCTGGATCAGTGTGTCTGTTGAACATTATGATGAGCATCTAATTTGATTTCTTCTAAGAGAAGCAAAGATCTTTAGCATGAAAACAAAGAGCATAATTATTTTCTTTTCAAGCAACTGATCGATAGTCTATATGCAACCTCTTCTTGCTTCATTTCTGCTCCCATCATTTAATACGTAAAATATCATCTTATTGTTCTTGTCAATAGAAAATTGTTTTCTTTCTAGAGATCTTGGAAACTTCTCGTAAGATGGAGCATTCATGTGATGAATATTTCCATGTCAAGCATTTTTGAGAACCTGCTTTTCTTTTTCATTTTGCAAATCAGTGGATCTGAAAGCACTAATAAGTGTGTTTTTTTCATCTGTATGGTTTGAGGGATATAAGGTGGTAGCTTGGAACCACTGCAGTCTCTCCTTGCAGTAAGGACTTTGATATCTGAATCCAACAACAGTTCCAGGTAAATGAATTATCTCTGTATGAAAAACATAATTCTCTTGAGCGCAGTAACAACTGGAAAAAATTTATCTCTTAAAGTCCTTTTGAATGCAAAATATTCTATTTAGATTCTTCAGGTGTAGTGTGAAATAAGCCTAGCTGGGATCAATAGCAGGGATTTGTTACTGATGATGCCAATTTAAATGTTTCTATAGCAATTGCCATGGCAATGTTTTTAATTAGTGCAGCACAGTCACTCATAAGCATGACACAAAGAAAAGCTAACCTTCGGCAACTTGATAATGTATCCCACATTAGTTTGTTTCATTTGCTAACAGTGAAGCAAAATTTGTGTTCTGAAAGAAAAAGATCTGGTGCTCGTGTATCGCTAAAAATAGCAGAGTTAACTGCAGCAGCAGTGCTTCATATTGCACTGCAATCTCTAAATAAGGAAGGTATAACTAATGCTCAGGATGGTCCAAACAATCTGTAAAACTAAGTATGTATTTTAACAGTATACAGCAAATATAAATCTTGTGTAGCCTGCATGCATGGAAGAAGTCTCATTGTCTTTGTCAGCCTTTTTTTTTTTTTTTTTTTTGAAAATAAAATATCCGAATGCAGCTTTTATCTGCCTAGACTGAGCACTAAGGATGGTGAAGCTGTAGCAACAAAAGGCTGTGCTATAAACAGCACACTGCCACCGATAATACCAAGATTTAGGAAGCGGCTGGATCTGTGCCACTCTAGGTTTACTTTTATCACTTCCCAAACTAATTAAAGATATCCCAGGTATGCATACACATGCTTCCCTCTGGCTGCAGCACTCAAATATTCTCTGAGTGCAGTCATACTGCAGATATGAATATAGACTCTGGATATATGGCTTTCTAAAAACAGCATTCTTTTTTAACATTCTTCTGCCCAAAACTTTGAGTTCATGGATGAAGATGGGATTGGGGCTAAGGATGAAAAGATTAAAAGAAAACAATGAATGTGTATACAGACCAAACTTGAGATAATTAAGAAAGGTGTTTTCATTTATTTCCAAGAGAGTTGAAATAGCAGTTGAAGGATCCCCAAAGCTTAAGGGACAGGGTTTTTTTTTTTTTCCACTGATGAACACCCAATCTTTGAGTACAAGTACTCAGATCCCCTTCAGGCACAGAAGCATGGACCACT